TCCTCCTCCTCCTCCTCCTCCTCCTCCTCTCTGCTGCACGTGGAGTTCCCGCAGGTGCCGCGGGCTCTGCTCTCCAACCTCAACCGGCAGCGCCTGGAGGGGAAACTCTGCGACGTCTCCATCCGCCTGCAGGGCCGCGAGTTCCGCGCCCACCGCGCCGTCCTGGCCGCCTCGTCGCCTTTTTTCCACGACCAGCTGCTCCTCAAGAACCTGGACTCCATCGAGCTGCCCAGCGTGATGGACCCCGGAGCCTTCGGCCTCGTGCTGGGCTGCGCCTACACCGGGCGGCTGAGCCTGGCGGCCGGCGACATCGTCAACTTCCTGACGGTGGGCAGCGTGCTGCAGATGTGGCACATCGTGGACAAGTGCGCCGAGCTGCTGCGGGAGCGCCGCGGGAATCCCGCGCCTTCATCGTCAGCATCGTCAGCATCGTCATCGTCAGCATCGTCATCGTCATCGTCATCATCGTCATCGTCAGCATCGTCAGCGTCATCATCGTCATCGTCATCATCATCGTGCTGCCCGCCCAGCCGGACCAGCGAGGCGCAGTCCCCCAGCAGCACCGACCCCAAATTCTCCGATCCCAAATTCCCCGATCCCAAACTCCCCGATCCCAAACTCCCCGACCCGAAACTCCCCGACTCCAAATTCCCCGATCCCAAATTCCCCGATCCCAAATTCCCCGACTCCAAATTCCCCGACTCCAAATTCCCCGATCCCAAATTCTCCGATCCCAAATTCTCTGATCCCAAATTCCCCGACTCCAAATTCTCCGATCCCAAATTCCCCGACTCCAAATTCTCCGACTCCAAATTCCCCGATCCCAAATTCCCCGATCCCAAATTCCCCGACTCCAAATTCCCCGATCCCAAATTCCCCGACCCGAAACTCCCCGACTCCAAATTCCCCGATCCCAAACTCCCCGATCCCAGCCGGGGCTCCCAAATGGAGGATGAGGAGGATGAGGATGAGGAGGGTGAGGAGGAAGGCGGGGAGGAGCCCCCGCGGCGCCGCTGGGTGCTGGTGAAGCAGGAGTGGCTGCAGGAGGACCTGGTGCTCACCTGTGAGGAGGATGAGGATCCTCCCGGGGGCGGGAATGAGGGAATTCCCGGCGGGAATGATGGGGGGGAGGAGGGGGCAGCGACACCGGGGGGATCCGGGAGCGGGAGGGGCCGGGAAAATTCGGGAATGGGATCTGGGATGGATTGGGAGAATTCGGGAATGGGGCTCGGGAGGGATCGGGAAAATTCAGGGATGGGGTTCGGGAGGGATCGGGAAAATTCGGGGATGGGGTTCGGGAGGGATCGGGAAAATTCGGGAATGGGATCTGGGATGGATTGGGAGAATCTGGAAATGGGATCTGGGAGGGATCGGGAAAATTCGGGAGTGGGACTCGGGAGGGGTCGGGAAAATTCGGGAATGGGCTCTGGGAGAGTTCGGGAAAATTCGGGAATGGGACCCGGGAGCAGCCGGGGCTCCTGGGGCAGCGAGGGGATCCACGGAACCGAGGGAATCCCGCACGGAACCGGGGGAATCCCGCACGGAACCGAGGGAATCCCGCACGGAACCGAGGGGATTTCACGTGGAAGCGACGGGATCGCGGGAATTCCGCACGAGAGCGGGGGAATTCTGTACAGAACCGGAGGGACTTTGCACGGAAATGAGGGATTTGTGACCGGGA